TTAATTAAGCATTGGACTTGAATATTTAATTCAGAATCATTTAGCCAATTCTGAAATAGTTCCCATTTTTGAATATAGGAACTTGGAACTTTTTTTAAGCTCTTTAGTTTTGGAAGGAACCACATAACAAATTTTATATGAATCTCACGCCTTTCAAGATATTGCTCAGTGGCAATTAATTCATATTGCCACCTTGATCATAGAGGATGTTGATATTTAGTCAACCGATGGTTAAACCATGCTTTATAAAGATTATGAATCATTTCACTCCTCATATTTAAGGGAGAGTCTTTATCGCTTTGGCCATATCTGTCATGTAACATCTATGCCAAATAAATAAGATTAAATGGATGCCGTGTTTTAGAAAACCCAGTACTTGTTGGAAGCTTACCAAAGGCTGTTTTCTCAAAATTATTTAAAATCAAATGTAATACGTGTAGTCCGCAAGAAAATCGGATACAATTACTTTTGGTTAAATAATTAAATTTGGTTACAGCGCCTCCAGTACAACCACTCATATAATTGGTGTTATCGGAAAGGAAGGTAAGACATCATGAGATGCCAAGGTTATATTTTGTACAACATTCAACAAGAGCTTGACTAATTGAATCGGAATTACAGCTTCGAATATCCTTGGTTTCTAGAAGTACAAAATCTGGTATATTTTTTCTGAATTCCAAAACATAAAGCATTCTACTAATATTTTTTTTTCACCCGACCTGATTCGTCCGCTATAATTCCAAATGCAAAATGAGGTGACTTATTAGCCTGTTGAAATACATTTCTTACATGCACTTCTGATACTTCATGATGCCAACGGCTAACAGTATCCCTACAAATCCAAGATTGTGTATTATTTCCTGTCAAAAAATTAAAAACGATCTTCATACTTGCTGCTGCGGTCTTAAAAGACATACGACCAAGCTGAGAAACTTGCATCGTAAGGTTAATAAAATCTGTGTTATATTCTTTTTTATTTTGTTTAATTAGATTTCTAATTACAGTTTTCATATCATTGCTTTTTAACTCTGGAGAGCGTCTGGCTTGTGCATGAATTCGAGAGATATAAAGACGATTCTTGCATTTAAATTGCGCAATAGAACCATTAAGCTTTCGAACTTTATGAGTTACATGATCTTTAGATCGCTGTAATTTTTTAATGTCTTGGTTTAATTTTTTATTTTGATTATTTAATGCCTCTAATGATTTTCCAGGTTTGTAAAGAGAGTTAGATATGTATTGAAATGCTTTGTTTTGAATATATGGTGATATAATTCGGTTTTTGTTTTTTCTGTAGGGGTATCTTATTGTACGCAAAAAATGAGAAACTGATTTAATATCTGTTTCGGACATGTCTTTAAGAGTATTAACTATTGTGTTATATGTTTTGGATTCATCAGTAGTCAAGGCATTAGAGGTTATATTTTGTGTTATTTCATTTGGATGATCTGTTGTATTAACAGTCTCTTGGCATTGATTTAACTTGTGCTTTTTAGCAAGCGATTCATGTACGTTTTTTAATTGAATGTTGCGTTTTGAAAGTTTAGGCATCATGTAAAAATTAAGATAAGTACAAAGTTTTTTTCAAAATTATATTTTGATACTTTTAGAAATGATATTTGACACGCTTTTATTTTTTCAGAATATATTTGCTACGTTTTAAATTTATTTACGAAAACCGATTTGAAGCAAATACTTACTTTATTTAATTAGAGCGCATACAATAACAACAAAAATGAAGTCTTAAACAATTGGCTTGAAATTTCTAATAATAAAGCTGAAGGCGCTCCCGAGCATCTACTTCAATTAACTTAGCAGAAATTCTAATTTGTCTGTTTGATCAAGCTGGCCAATTAGACTTTTTATAGAATTCATTGAGGTAGATGCTTGATAACGTCCTAATTCATAACAAGTATATAATGATAATAAAAAGCAGAGTCTTAAAAAGGTTTAGTGTAAAATTACAAGATTCGATTCTGGTTAATGCGCTATGCTGTTCTCAAGCATCTGAATTAATTGATCAAATAATAATCGTGATAACGATATTTATAGAATTAAGTGGTTATACCAGTTAGAAATTTGTTGAGAATTAATTGTTTATTATATTTGATATAAAAGTAATTGTCACAAGAGCCTATATACCTAGTAAAAGGTATACAAATAAAAAACAAATTGTCAAGTAAAAGGGTGGAACAAAAAATATCAACCGAACGACTCACGTGATCATATGATTGATCGGAGTCATGGTGTGCATAATAATGATGGGTGATTAGAAAGTCTATTAAATTAATAACAAAGAAAGGAATAGTTAAAGTGTAGTACAGAGTATGTAATTGTTGAAATTGAATAAATAGAAAATGTAAATAGAGAAAATTTATTAGTCTCTTTGACCGAAAAAGTAATAAAAGTGTTTTAAGTAAATACTTACATGTTGAGTAGTGTGATGTGTACATCATTATTAAAGAAGGAGTGTGTCTCAAGTGCCAAGCAAGACCCGAATCAATTAAAGTCATCTGAGGTAGATTGTAGTCGCTTCGGCGATGTAAATTTTTGAAGAAAAAATAATTTCTTGCAAACACCTTATATCAAAGAACTAAAACCATTAGATGCTAACAAATAAAGAGTTTACTTACTAACTAATTACTCTTATTACTAACTTAAAAAATTCGATGAAAACAGAAAAATCGCAAGTAACTCAAGATTTTATTAGATTGACTTCTAAATAAAAGTTTTTAGTATGAAATTTTAGTTATATAAACACATTTAAATATTGAATATTAAGCAAATTAAAGCCTGCGCTAATTTCTGGTCTTTGTGCTCTTTCAATTTGGTAATCGGCATAACCTGTCACAGATTCAGCACATGCATTTTTTAGGAGCTTACAAATCAAAAAGACAATAAAGTCTTTGAATAATAATATATTACCTTGTATAATTGTTAAAATACATTTAGGGGATGCTTAAAGCCAGGTCCATCCTGAATTTAAATTAATGTTAAGGTTAGTGTTAGTGTATAATTGTCTCTCTGACATTTTTATTATTATACTAAGATAGGTTTAAATATTCGTTTCGCATTTTTTACTTTTTTTGCTTCGTTAGACTAATTCACGTAAACAAAAGATCTCGTGATAGATCTAGCTTTAAGCGATCTCTGCATTTAGAAAATTCGATTTACAAACTGATTTGAAAAGCATTTTTAAAAATAATTTTATTATTGTAAAATAAAATAGGTTGTAAATAAAAATTACATTTTATAAAAAGATTTAAAAATGTAAATTTTTTTAAAAATTTACAACAATTTACACAAAACAAATGGCCTCTATCTTCTGCGCTATTTCTTTTATAAAAAGCGTTTTTGTCACAAGTTCAGAAAAATATTGTACCAGGTCTGCGGTCTACCGAACAGCAACTAATGAATTTGCTAAATATAAGTTTAAAGCATTTTATATGAAAGAATCATCGCTTATTGAAGAATTGACTGAAAAAACTATCACTATGATAATTGGTTGTTTTGTATTTGAAGATGAGTTAAATGTAATAAAACCCAACTTGTTCATACTAGAGATGCAGGCAAATTGTTTCAATGATTGCTGTAACCTTACCAAATGTATTATTAGTTATAACGGCACGTTACAGTAAAGTTATGGCAATCATTGGGACGATTTGCCTGCACCTCTATTAACCTATATAGAAGAATATAATAATTAATTTAATTTCATATTTAAAATTAAGGTTACAGTTTCTCAAAGTGTATCTTTGCAAATTAAAACATTACAAAACGAACCTAACATTTACGATCTGCCAATTGCACCTACTTTCAGAATTTTTTCTGCACCTGTTCAAAACCCTTCTAAACCACATGGTGACAGTGCAATCTTTTGTTTAAAAAAGGGAGTCTATAATAGTATGAATGGAAAAACTACTGATTTGTCAGTTATATGCAAGTATAATCCAAATCCGAAAGGTTGCCATTCGAATGTAGCTGAAGCTACACATTGTCAAACTGTTATTTCTGTTGCTGGTGAACTAATTTTTGTTGAGAAATCTATTTTTGTGTTATGTGAAGCAATAGAATGGAATTATTATGTAATGCGAGAAAATTCAAAATTGCAGTTGTGTGATGGGACAGAACCTGTAAAAAAAAAAGAAAAAGAGATGAGGAGCTAGCGAAAATTGCAGAAGTTTTTAAATCCAAAAACCAACATCAACAAAATAAGAATCATAACCATGTAATTGTTGATTAATAATTTCATAATAAATGATAAAGCTTACTTTATATTAAAATTTGTTTTTTTGGAAGCAGCTTATTTTTTTCATTATGCGTATTAATACTGTATATACAACACTTCACTGGGCGTAACTGTTCTAATTCCAAACCCAAATACACATTCATTCGTATGATTTAAGCAATGTGGCAGGCCCTATTTATCAAAACAAATTCGCGTTAATAATTTGTCATTAAAAAAATTACAAGTTTCGCTTTTATAGTAAAAAAAAAAAAATCTATAATCG